AAAAAAAATCAGAATTTCCCCAAAAGTGATGAGCGAGGGGGTGATAAACTAATATTTTTTTATATGAGGCCTTACAGTGGACTTTCTGAGAGACATACAGCACTGTAGCCTAGACTCATAGTGCTGTTTAGGATGGTACAGTATACTCTCTACTGTTTGTATTCTCTAGTTCTCTGGAATAATACACCTATCCCTTAAACTCCATGAGACCAAGTATTTTTGTGGACTTACAGTACTTTTAACATACCAAATGAACTGCACTAAAACCAATTCTTTTAATATAATACCTGTATTACTAGCTTACTGTAATATACTTTCACTTTAAAATTCATAATTGATAGACTTAATCTAGTTGCCTAGTAATGTTTATTCTGTACGGTATAATTATGATAATAATGAGGTTTTTCTTTCATTTCTGCATTATAAATTATTATTATTCTTATTATTATTATTTCTCTATTAAAGGGTATTATTAAAACTTTTGCAATCATTAAAAAAAAAATTATAATAACATGAAGAAAAAATACACTTTCCAATCTTCCTCAAATACTATATGATTTATGCTTGTAGCAATTTCACCACAGGTATTAAAATACTTGCAGTCTGTGATCAAATCCAATAACACCAGGTATAACAACAACACTTCTGACAATTCAGCAAGCAAAAGCTAAAATTAATCATGACATTAATTTGATATTCATTCTATTTTTTCTAAGTGTCTCTATTTCAGGTTTTACCTACTTTTGCTATTTTAAAGACCCATATAAAAAATATTGTTTAAAGAGTCATCCTGACCTGCAAAAAATTTGTACTGTAGAAAAAGAAACATTTTTTTTTGCCTTCTCACAGCTGACCTGCATATTTTTATTTTCAGTTTAAAAAAAAAAAACATGCGTAAAAAGATTTAATCAGAGGAATTACCTGTACAAGTATGTCTCATACCTTTAATCTGATTTAAATGACCTTTAAATCCAGTGTGATAAATATCACATCAAATGAATAAACAGTTTCAGATGGAAAAAAAATCCTATATCTTCTTTCTCTATTTCATGAGATACGTACTGTACATAGAACTGTCTTGTCAATTCAGAAAATTTCATAGGACACAATAATAGAGAGATATTTTGTAAAGTGGCCTTCATCATATCTGAACATCTGACACAGAGGACCTAGATGATAATCCAACATTTTATGAGTCTAATCAATAGTTTGCTATTGTATACAATACAGTATGTAGCATATGAACTACTGACGCACTAACATTTGTTCATAAAACGTAAACTACCGAATTTATTGAATTTGGCAGTAAACCATGCATGCCTGTACAATTCTTAATTTTGAGGCCCAGAAGTGACTAGAATGTAACAATGCTAATTTCATTCATGTTAAATACAATACTATATGTAGGCAATAATAATGACTGGTGAAAAGATTACACAAATCAATGGTGATGTTGGTAGTCTATGAGTGGATACAATACCTGAATAAACTGAAGCAATTTACTTTTATAAACCAATTCAATCCTTTCACTACACAACACAACAAAATCACTACTACTGTAGTACACTAGAGTATATACGCGAAATACTTTCGTTTTTACAGTGATGTAGTAATGGAGCGATAGTATAATAATGTTACAATCACTTTCATGTCAACACACTGTCTAACGTGCGAACATCTTTTTGAAGAACATCAAAGATGATCACCTGGGATAGGCTGGAATGGTCACCCTTTTTATATGAAAAACAAAAAAATTGGGCCGATTTTGTGGAGTGGACTTAATATATATTAACTCACTCCACAAATCTCCTTTTCAATCAAAAAGCAATTTTGGATCCACTACATGCTTAATTCAAAACCAATATTTGATTTGTTTCATATAGAAGAAGTCAGCCTAAAAAGCTACTCATTCAAATTATACTGTACCCTGGGCTTTTGCCAGAGAAAAGAATGGTACATAAAATATGGCGTAATGTAGTGGGAGGGCCTATACCCAAGAAACTATGGTAATTACATTCTGACTATCTAACTTCCAATATTGTATTGAGTTAATATCAACATATCCAGCCTCTTAATCCTAGGCTAGAGAGTCTCAAGATCTACTGCATCATGACACCAACAGGATAGAGGTTGGATATCTGTGTGTATTTAGTAGGAGTTAGCATTTCCTGCGTACAGGGCTCTTCAGGAAACTCCATCCTTGACAAAGTGTTTAAACTGGAAGCCTGCTATTATCAGGCAGCTTCATTGTGCAATCGCTATATCCATGGTTTTTTCCAAAATAAGAATCAAGTTTACATACAATTTAATAAAATTTTGACATATATATGCTGTACATATACTGTAATAAAGAATAACCTACTTATTATATATAATAATTACAAACCATAAATTTAAAGTTACTGATGATTAACTGTGGTTAACATACAGATAAAGAACAGTACAAAAGAGTTTATTTGTCATGTTCTACACATTGATTTTCTTAGATGGCGTCCAGATCTCAAATATTGGTATTCGGTGTGGAGTGGGTGATTGATTAGCGAATCCGCTTTATTTACAATTTTCAGTTTGCATTAACTGTCGATAGTGCCCGTTCCATGGAACAATCAACATGACTTTTGAATAATTACTTGTAGTTTATGCAAATCACCTTTCCTCATAACACTGGACCAAACTAAGCAACTGTATAAAATTATACTCTGCATGACTGATGAATAGAATAGTTTAAGAATTGTTACATAATACATGAAATCTGTTCAACTTTCTCATAAAATATAATCTGTTGTTACCTTTGCTTAAGATTGATTTACATTGTTCACCCAATTTCTGTTTGTTATCTATCTTAATTCCTAAATATGTCAACATCATTTATATACAAATTTAATACACAATTTAATACTATACAAATCTATCATACCTGTACTTAATTTTTAATCATGAAAAAGTACCCCAATACTGTACACTTCTTTTTTTTATATGAACACATTTTATAAGAACACCGCGGTTGAAATTGCTTTCAAAATAAGAACATGCTGTACAGTAGAACAAATTGCAGTTGAGGTTAAGGCCAAAATGAGGTTTTCATTTAACAAAACAATAGAAAACCAAGAAAGCAAGCTACTGCAGTCATATATTAATTAATATTTAAAAAGGTTACCAACATTTATCTCTCCAATGATGTCATCAGATGTGACCTATTAAATCTGAAATTCCATCATACTGGTGTACAATAAGGCCAAACCAAATAAAAGTGTTTCTTTTCCCCTTGCGCATCCATTTTGAGCTTGCTTATATGCGCTATATAAGAATGAACTATTATTATTATTATTATTATTATTATTAGGACGAGAAACTAGTTTTTCTTTTGACTTGGCCTAATATTTTTTTATCTTTGAAAACTGTGTAAATTAAAGAACAAAATAAGAATAATCTTCAGTTGAAATTGGCCAAAAAAATAAAACTGTGCCTACAGTAGGCAACATATTAATGTTTTTTATAAAACACATTAATTACTGTAGGTTTAATTTTCAATACACATTTGTTTATATATTTAGTGATTTATGTACAGTAGGCCTAACACTGAACAATGACAAGATAACTGCATATAATTATTACTGGTATGCATAGTTTATTGGGTTGACATGATTTATCAATTGCATAATATGACGATTTGTTTGTTAAGGTCGATTTTGACAACTTGTGAGGGTCAAGGCCGTGCAGTGTGTTAGGTACTGTAGGCCTACAGACAGACAGATAGACATTAGAAATATAGCTGGGTTGTTTGTGTCAGAGGCAACCGCAAGTCAACATATTGTAGAAAATACCATGTAGCCAAAAATAGCACTTTCCTGGTGTAACCTCATTTACTGGACATAACACAATCTCTCTGTATTGATTTTCCTCACAATGTTCTTAAGAAAGTGATATATAATTTCCCAGTCATTTCCTTATTCAATTTGTAGTAGACAAAATGTTTTTATTTTATCCTCTTCCTCATCATCATCATCATCATTGTCAGAATTACTACGACCACCAATCACTATGATCATCCCTGCTAACAGCAAACTAATTATAATAATCATTATCCTCATCTCCATCATTATTACATAATTTAACATATACCAGTATATAATGTTCTCATATAATTTTGGATGATCGAACTATTAAACTACATGTTATTTTAAGGATGATTAACATCATTACTATTTTGTTTTGAATTATAAGTGTACACTGTTCAACATTATTATTAGCTGTACAGTTGTGAAATCATTGAACTATTCTACTAATTGTCTTATCTTCGTGCTCTTTTATCAATCGACCATTGATAAACTTTATTGTTCATCATCATAATCATCATTTTCTAATGCCATCATCATCATCATTATCATTCCTATTATCGTTAATTTTGCCACATTCATCAAAATTTAATAAACTTGTTACTTGTTACTTCTATAGCGCTTATTCCTTGAGGTTACAAAGCACTAACTACCGTCCGCTGTGATCAATGTTTCCCTCAAGTACAGTCCACCCCAAAAGAGTATGCTCATTATGAATCTTACTTTGGTCTTTGATTCATAAAGAGTATGCTCTTTACGAATCAAAGACCAAAATAAGTCAAAGGGAATAGAGGATAAAAAAAAAAAGACTAAAATAAAGTAAGTGCAAAAACTACCAAACCCAGCCCAACACACAATAAACTCAGTTAACAGATACTGTACATTGCCTGACAGAGTTATAAGTTTTCAATGGATGGAAGCAGGATATTCCATACTCGAGCCATTGCAGATGGGAAAAGACGAGGTATTGGTCTGACAAGATGTGTTGTGGAAGCAGATCGAGTATATCGCAAATTTGTACGTTTGTTGATGAATATAGATATGTATGATGGGCATACGCCCGGAAGAGCAGAAAAAGTAGTATAATCATAACAATTCAACAGATTGCATTAAAATATTATATAAAGGTGAATACTTTGTGAGATTTTTAAATTGTATACTTACCAATTCTAATCCCTGATGGAAAGGGACATTTTTCCAATCTTGTTCTGGAAATCGCTGCAGTATCTTGCCGTTACAAATACGACCCTCTGCGAAGAAGTAAAACGTCAAAGTACAATAAACATCCCGAACATTATATTTAATCAAAAAGAATTTTTTAAAAAGGGGAGAAAAAGTTGGGAAAAAGGGTGGTTATGCCCCTTTTTCCGCCAGTTTTTAAATATTCAAAAATCTGTATTTCATTAACCGTTAATCCTTACGTCAGAAAAATTAGTACAACATATCCAAATTTTTTTTCTCCGGAGCCTGGCTTTTCTAAGTAAGATTAATATTTTTTTCAACAATATCTGTGAATGGCGTAAAAATGACAGTTGAACAATTTACATGTGTCATCGAGTTGTATACTCAATTACAATTACTGTACCAAAAACATTACTAAATAGTCAACCTAGAACACCAAATTGCACTTTCTTAATCTCTTGGTTAAACCCATCCACTGCCAATACTAGGCACTTTACGCAACAGGACGTGGAGCTGCTGACAATAGCAATTTTGGTTAAAGAGCCCAAGTGTTTACTGTGGTCTTCACGCTTTGATGACCACAGAACCACCATCCACCCATCTACCCATCCTGTTGCGTAAAGTGCCTAATCAGAACTTCTTGTACCAACAATAGTGTATAACTTTAAAACAGTTTCATCATGAAGACAATATTCCAGCTGCATACAGATGATTAGACCCATGGATGATTTAACACAGGACGCTTGGACCTACTTTTTTGGACGTTCAAAACAATTTCCACAAAATGGATCCGATCATCCTGAAAATGGGTCCGATCATCCACACAAGTTGGAACCGTTCTTCCAGAAAATGGGTCAATTAATATGTATGTTCCATCTTATTTACTGTTCAGGAAGAGTGGGCCAAATCATTTAATTTTTCAGGAAGCGAGTCAAGAGGGCAATAAAATAAAAAGCCAAAATAGCATACAGTAATCAAAAGGGCAATAACGTAAACAAAATGGCTTTATACCAATCCTATCAAAAAAATCAATCAATCAAATATCAGGGAATTGTTTAATAATTGAAAATGGCAGGTCAGCAAAAAAAACACACCTAATTTTGTTTAGATGAGTGATTACTTGGAGGGGGGAAATTTAAACTTTAGAATAGTTAGCATACACTGAATTACTACTGCAGTCATCAAAGAGGTGTAGAGTTCCAAGCAACACAAAATATATCCTTATAGCAGAAAGCATGGCCACAGTATTTGGGGTTATTACTACAGTAGATTTAAGGTGAGAGATTTTCAAAGCCAAATTATTTTTTACACCCCGGAAGAGGATTTTATGTGAGTGATGGTGTGCGAGTACAATTACTCCCCTCAAATTACAAGCCCTGAACTAGGCCTACTGTATATTGTTAATAACTATATTTTAGTAATTATGTATTTTTTGTAGCAGTATAATACTAATTAGTAGTGGTAGTACAGTAGTAAGTGCTTAACAAATTAATATAAAAATTGTTGGTTTACAGATTTTTTTTTACATTACATGCTTCGGTTGCATTAATTAAATAAACAAAAATTAAGGCTTACGGCCAAGGCCTAACTAAAGTTTAAAAAAAAATAAATTATTAAAAACCTTATGTAAGACACTCAGCCTAGGCCGAGACTCCTAGCTTGTGGATAGGATAATAATTACTAATTAGCAGGTTAGCTTCATCAGATCTTCATTTACCACAGGCCTATCCACACGCCTACGTAGCCTGCTAGTACTACTACTACTAGCATCCATCATGAGTCATGAAATCTAGCAGTGTTTTTTTGTATTATGGTATGTAACTGTCAGTGTCGTCAGTGTAGTAAGAATAATCTCTCATCATTCCTACTCATCATGTTATCTCAAGATTTAATTACATTTCCCTTACAGTTTTTTCTCAAAGATAGGTCTAGACCTTCAAGGTTAAACCTAGGCCCAAGTATAGGCTAAGCCCCAATCTACAACACAGAAGGTGTATGTTGAGCTATCCCATGCATTTCAAACCTCAGATATTCAATTGTTTAGGCTGTGGGGCGGATGAACTTTTCATCTTGTGCCAGCCTAGGCTACATTTTTGCTGTTAGGCCTAGTCTCCAATAAAGCAAAAGCAAACAAACTCGCCAGTAACTCAATAAATGTAGCACACTTACGTTCTTTTTCATGATCGTATCCAACGACAACAAAATAGTCTGCAAGGCGAGACATTCTTATGCAGCTTTAATCATCGTCGTCCCATTTTCGCATTTACGCCTAGCAAAATATATCCGCCATGATTGATGATTCGATGCAAAACGAAATGAGCATGCGCACAATTCAACGGGCGCTTGATTGACCTGCGATGATCTTTTTGATATTGAATGATGTGATAATGAATGTAATAATAAATGTAAGATGATATGATATAATACTGTAGTATAATAATGTATACGCATCATACTGTTCCACTTCCATCTCTCTTAGTCCTACACTTATATTTATGATGATTCTGAAATGCTTTAAAACTAGGAAAAGCTGAGGTAATCTTTGCTATGAAGATGTTGGATGGGTGACGATTGACAGATTTATTAGGGGTATTTATAAACAGGAATACATGGGTATACCCCATAATAAAAATCAGCGTTTTTTTATTGGAAATATCATTAGCAAAATTTGAAAAGTCAAGTAATAATAATAATAATAATAATAATAATAATAATAATAATAATAATAATAATAATAATAATAATAATAATAATAACAATAATAATAATAGTAATAATAATAATAATAATAAACAGTAACAATAACAGCAACAGCAACAACAAAAATCAACAATAATATGATAATAATAATAATAATAATAATAGTAATAATAATAATAATAATAATAACAATAATAA